TGACAGCAAAACCAAGTTCTCAGAAGTTCGACTTCTTTTTTCCTTAAAGAACAGCAACAACAAATACCTAAACAATAATGAGGGAGAATTGAAATATAGTCTGGGGTTGTATTTATAGGTAACTTACTATATTCAAAAACGAACGCAGGAAGCTTTAAATTGGCACGAGAAGTGTAATTTGAGATTACCGTATTTGAGGTAATTATTATAGTCAGCAACTGCTAGCAAAACGTTTGAAATAGTGGATGTGATAGTACTGCTGTTACTACTACTCAATATTCCTAGGCACTTGCTTGGATTAAACTCTGGTTGCATTTTAATAATGTGCTCAGTGTGTGTCAATTTAAGAACAGCGTAAGTTGAATGTTAGCTCTAATTCTTATATTCAATATATTGCATAGGATAATGTGCTACTTAAAGGTGCTTCTCTTGAGGACTTCTTGCTTGTCTGAAAATTTATGTCAAGATATTCTGTGGCAGAAAATTAACAAAGATTTATCTTGCATATATGTGCAATAATTAGGAGAAAGAGTAGGTGAAATCAGTCCGATATAATTTTCCTTTTTTTTCTCAGAATTTATTGCATTGATATGGAATTCTAAGGACAGCTATGAGGTCAAAACTACTAAAATTCTAAAACTATCTTCTAATTGATTTTTTCATTTTTAAGGTAAAATAAAGACTTTCAAAAGTATTACTTAGTCCCAGGGAATTACGTTACATATCTTTTAAGTAATCTTGTGACTTGTACAATTTAGCTGCGCACATGGGATTCATTTATTCATCTTAAGGTTCATATTAGTATTGATGAATTTAGGTTGTAAAGAGCAATAAAGGGAAGATAAAATTTTAGATCCCTTGTTGCTTAATCTTTCAACATCTTTATACATCATTTCACTTAATATTTAGTAGTTTTTCTTCATTTCTGTCAAAACCAGCTCACCTGGCTAACATTGGAAGAAGTCCGGGTGTACAACCAGAACCACACACCAATGCTCAAATTTGAAATACTGTGCTGAGGTTTGTCCTTATCACTGCTATGTCTCTTAGTTCCTGTACTGCTGCTCTTTTCATGAGTGTCTGCGCTCACCTAGCTTTATCCATTACCCACCTTATTGCCCCCAGAGTCTGGAGAAATGCAGGTTCGGGAGCTGCCTATGAAAATACGTGGAAGCAGAGATCATATGCTAAATGAGAGAGAGAGAGAGAGAGAGGGTTGGTAGCTCTGGGCTTTGGCCTCGACAGAAATTAAGAAGGTATCTGTAGAGGTTACAGGGAGAGAAAAGGTAGCCTTTTTTTGAAGTCTTAATTTCTGAAGGGGAAAATAGCTTGCATTCCCACTGTGAGTTCCTGGAAATAAAATCAGACCAAGCTGTTTGCAAAACTCACGAGGTGCTGAAGTGTTGCTGTGAGTGTGAGAAGGAAACAAAACTGAATTGGTTTATTAATGATGTGCAGTCACTTCAAAATGGTTAGTTGGCGTGTACTACTTAGGTCTCATTGAGTGTGACTACAGTATGTTATTATAACAAACAGACATCTTCTGTAGTACTTCTAAAAGTCACTGTTAGCTGCTTTGACATTTACAGTTGTGGTAATAATGATGGAGGTACTGGGTGCTGAAGTTGTAAATGAATTCACGTAGTTTCTGTGCAACTGAGTGTAGTAGTCTACTATTTCTTTAATGTGCTCTAGTTTTTTGTTACCTAGGTTGTTGGTTGCACTTGATGTTATGTTATTTTGATTAGGTTCATGGGGAATACTGAACTGTATACTCAGTGTTGAAGGTGCTGCAATTACAGTGAGATAATATATGAAGCAACAGATGTCTAGATGTCTTTTAGTTGGGATGAAGTGACAAAGCGGTGATGAGAGCTGCTGAAAAAAAAAAGTTCGTGAGAGTTCGTTGGGGAATGTTTTGTTTTGCTCTCAGTAGAGAATAACATAAGTAGATGGAAACATGAAAAATAACCAAAAACTTACTGGACACCGAGATGGCTCCTTCCTGCTGTTTGCTCACTCTCTACTTTGCCTCTGGGTCCTTCTGAAACACTGTTGTGAAGAATGTAACAGCGTGGTAAGTCTGATGTTACTAAAGCCAAAAAGGATCGAAGGCATAATGGTACATGTAAGCTTTGTGTGTGTGTATATATTTTTTTGCAAGTGGATGTTTTGCATGTGTAGCCGTGTTTCTAGTGGACAAGTTTACTCGTTGCACCTTTGAAAATGTAGAAATATCACAGAGATAAATTGGAAATAGTTTTTGGAGTTTCTCCTTAGTTTCTGCTTATTTCAATAAGGATAAAATGAGCGTGGTTCTCTCAAATTTCCAGAGGATACCATGGCTACAATTGCATTTCAGCATTTGTAACATGTATTGGAATGCTTTCGGTTTGCTATTTATGATTGATGCTAAAGCATATCCTCTATGGATTTTTCCCCTGTCTTATTGAGACTAGTAATTACAGCTTCAAGTCAGAATTGGTGAAGACCAAATGAAGATTGAACTTGCCTCTGAAAAGTATTTCAAAGCTGTTATGTTACAATAAGCACTGACATTTCCAGAACACAGTGTAGTTTCATCATCATTAATTCAATGCTTTTAGTTGCACCTTCCTTTTAATAAGAAACACGAATGTATTTTAATTTTGCTCAGAAACTGCTTTTGGGGAAGTTAATGACTGTTATCTGTAATTGAGTATTTGAAAAAATTGTTTCAGGATCTTGAATCTGTCTTTTTATGACCAAACAAGAGTGAAAATGCAAAAGGACAAGATAAAGGTTATTATATCTTGTGCCTACTCAGCAAGCATGCAGTAAAATCATTGTGGAATGCCAGTAAGCTTTTAGAATGCTTTAGGTAAAGACTTAGAAGTCCAATATGAGCAATTGAAAACCACCAACAACAAAAACAACAATGAAAGCACATGTCTTCATACCTATTTAGCAAGTCTCTGCTATGCTATCATTTCAGTGTTGTTGCTTAGTTACTTTTTTGCAGGAAACACATGCACTCTAGTTCTACTTGGAAAATGCTTGTCCTTTGCATTGGTATAAGTTCAACCTAACTCTACATAGTATTTAATATATTCAGTTTGTGTATGTGTGTGCATATGTTCATTTGTGGTTTTATAAGTGAACTGTACTACTTATTTGGACTATCAAATGTGCAGATACTTTAGAGACCTTTAATGTATCAATATGTTGTAAATAAAGCTAAATTTTCTTTAAGGATGATCTGCTGTGAGTTCTGCTAGAAGTAGTTTCTCTGGCTATGGCTGCACAGCATAGACCTTTCACGTATTGGCAAGGAAAAACATTCCCTACAAATTAGGAGACAATTATTGCATTAGTTAGATTCACAGTTTATATCCAACCTCAAATTTTCAGAGGTAAAGATGAAAGTCACGTCTAGCTCGGCTGTATGAACTCTTCAGTCATCCACATTGTCCTCCTGTGTACATCAGAAATAACTGTTGTGTAGTTTCATCACAGTGAGAAATACTGGTGATATGCAGATGATAGGACTGGATGATCTTAGAGGTGTTTTTCAACCTTGGTGATCCTGTGATTCTATGATTCTAAGCTTCTACCTCCTTTACTTTTCTCCTTATTTTTCTGTTTTCTGTATTCTTTACTGGGTGAGACTTTTGACCTCTGTTGGCTACTTTTGCTTAAGAATGCTCAATAGTAGTGGGCTTTAAACAGGCTGATGAAGACAAGCAGATGAGAAGATTGGAGCTTTTTTTTACCTGTGGGCAGGACAGCCTATTCTCAATTGTTGTCTTGATGTTTCGAGTGAAATAACCAGGTCAGCAAACAGTTATTGGGTGTAAATTTAAAAAATGTCCATAACTAACAGCCTGTGTTCATTTTTTTTCCCCTTCTCATTTAAAGTGTTTTTTAAAGTTTCATAGTCTTTAAGGGAACCTCCTGAGCATCTTCAATGGCGTTTTTCGTTTGGTGTACATCAGCTGGACAATAAGGTGACACTCAAGTAACTTAAGGGTTGGGAAACTCTCGAGTTGAACTATGTGGTCTACAGGATTTTCTCAAAGACTTCTTCCTTTTCTACTATTTCTCTCCCTCTCTCTCTTTTGTATTCTAAATTGAGCTTACACTTTTACGACAGTGGTTTGATGTGTTTGTGTGGTTTGTTTTTTTGCTTTGCGGAAGTCCCACTTTATTTCCATGAATAATATGTATAGAGTTAGGGTTTTAGTTTAGGGAGTGAAGTAATTCTGTGCAGCTTGAAGTGTAAATTTGTGGCACTACAGAAGTGACTTTAGTACTACTATAGCAATACTTCTATAGTGAAGTACTCATATAGTACTACTAACCTAACTATACACAGGAGCTGCTTCCTAGCCTGCTACTGAAGTCACGTATAACATCACAAACTTAAGTGTGTCTGTTGGAAGGTAATGTACTCGTTTTTTTCCCCAATGAATATCAAAATATGAATTACTTTAATTAGTAGATAACTTGGAGCCAAGTTTGCACGCTTAAAACTGAATGCTTTAAACATATAGATTCCCTGATTTCTTTGAGTATGAAAACCTGTGTTCTGAGTGAGGGTTTGAGTATTTGTGTTATGATTCTATGAATGCTACTTGTTTTAAGGCACGGTAGAGTTTGTCACTTACCGTTAATTTTAACAGTCTGTTTGATAGTTGCTGTTTATAGCCAGCACGTGGTATCCTGGCTCTAATTTGATTGCTATTCTGAGACTCATAAAATGTACTGTAATAGCATTTAGATGTAAAGAAAGAAATACTTAGTGCTTGTTGATCCTGTAATCAGTGGGTAATTTCTAAATAATTACAATTCAGTAAATGAATCTTAAAAAGGCTCAGTTTGTTTCTGTACTTGCTTGGCACGTACAACGTTACACTTAGGTGTCTGAGACACTGGAAGGTTCACCGATAGCAGCCTGTGTGGACGGTCCTTTCTGTTCTTGTGCTTTTAGCTTTGAAGAATGATCACACAGTCACGGGCCATGGCTGAACTTCGCGGTTTCCTTATTTGTACTTGGATTTCTCTGAAGTGTAACAAGAGAAGCTTTATTTACAGAGAGTGGCTAGATCTATCAACAGGTTAGTTTGCTCTAACGTATTGAGTGATAATTGTATGAAAATGATGCCTGCTACACAGGTATCTTTGAAAACCTTATTTGCATTGTAATCAAGTCACTGTGTTTAGTTTGTATATACATGTACTGTGATGTACCTGCTCAAGGAAATCAGTATGCTTCTTGCTTGCACATATTTACCTGTTAAATTTTGTTTGCGACTTGTTAGAAATGCCTTTGTGAAATCTTGTGTTTGTGGGGTCATCACTCCCATTTTCTTTCTCTGCATCTGTGGTGATGCGAGAATGCGATCAGCAGGCATAGGCAATGCCATCAATTAGGCTTGCTTCTACAGCTGAGAAGTGACAAACACTTGATTATAAATGAAGAGCCTTGAAGGTCTGAAAATCAAACCAGCAATATTCAAAGGGAAGTGAAGGCAGTTGTTCACATCAGTTAGATCAAATCTAGCGTCTCGAACAAAAATTAATTTCTAGGAGGAGGGGCAAGAGGAGAATAGAAAGGGTGTTCTTGATAGAGCAGGGGGATGAGAGAAAGCTACCTCTGAAGAGGATGAGTTAGGCTGTACATGGTTGGTGGAATCTGATGGGACGGCTGTGCAGGGAGAAATTGTACTGAGTGCATAATTTATATTTTATAGCCCATTAGATGTATTTGGTACCTAGCACAGTTACAAATTCTAGCTATTATGTCAGTCTACCTGTGAAACTGCAGCCTCTGTTCCAAAGCTTGTGTCTGGGAAGAGGTTTGCTGGTTTCCCTTGTGGATAGCCTGACAGATCAAGTGACTGCTATGTGAGTACTGTCCCTTTACTGGTATCAGACAATCTTTGTCCTGAGTCAGTTGTTCACATTAATTTACTTATTTTAAAATTAGTCTGTGCTTAGTTAGTCTTCTTTCTAACAAACTGAAATATGAATAGATGATGCTCAAATAAAGCTAGAAGCTTTTTTAAATTGAGGTATTTTCAGATGCTTTATTAGCCACTTTTTGATATATAACAGAACGGAAATTGTTGCTGTTTGTAAGGCTTGTTTTCCGATTTCCAAACATCTTATTTCGAACAACTTGTCACATGAATACTTCACCAAATCCTGTACAGTGAGGGAGATCCTAAGGCATAATCCTGAAGGTCAGAAAGTCAGTATCATTTAAACAGAAGCAATCTTGTTAATCAATGTAGAAGGCAGTTTTGTTTTCCCTTTCAAGAAGTTGGAAAGGTTATAAAAGCACTCATTTTATGGTGTATGATATAAGTGCTTTCCAAACCGAGTGCTTATTACTTAGATGATTTGCTGAGTGCCCACATAAGATGAGTAGCTCACATTGTCTTTCATGTTGACTGACCAAGTGGTTGTAAGAAAAGATGGGGAATAATGTTTCTTCTGGAGACAGAGAGGGGGAAAAAAAAAAGTGAAACGCAGTCATTTTTTTCCTTGTTGTTACAGGTTTGGGCTTCTGTGTAGTGTGATTTTTGTTGTTAGTTGCTTTGTTTTTGCCTCAAATATAAAATACAGAACACAAGGAAACTATTGTGCGTACGAAATAACGGAGTTAATTTTGCTCCTCTGGGAAAGACACAGGCATGTCTGGTCCTTGGCACGGAGACCGGGGCAGGCTGAAGGCAGAACTGTACTCCAGCAAACCTGCTCACATCTCTTTGAGCTTGAGAAGGAAGCAGAGGGTTGCTGTTGTTACCTGCAGAAAAGAGAGGAAATAAAAGTGGAAGGGAGATACTGAGGAGAGCTATGCGTACCTCCGTGCATCATGAAGGATGGGGAAAATTGGCTGAGGTTTCGTCCCCAGTGAAGGGGCTGGTGTTCTTCCCATCATTCTTGCTCATAGGGCATCCTGAAGGGAGGAAGTGATTTATCTGTTAGGCAGTTACAACTGAGCCTTTGTGTTTTTTTGGTGGAGGGATGTAAGCTCTCATGATTCAAATTGAGTTAAGCAAGGAAATTTGTTGGATCTTCTTCGCAAACGAAGTATTACCATCTCACCATTTAAGTAGTTATAAGACCTTTCAACATTAGCAATTTAGCAAAAAATCATACTTGTTTTTTTAAAGCAATTAAAATAACAATATCCTTTGGGAACCTGGTGGCTTTAAATGCTTAGATACTCTCCTTAAACCTCCTTTCTGCAGAAAGGCTGAGATTTATAATAAAAGCTAGTGATGTTGTAGTTCCAGCAATTGGGAATTACTGAAAAAGATGCCAGATGCTATGAGAGTTGCTATAAAATGATGAGAACTGGCAGACGTGGAAAGAAACATCCTTCATTGTCAACCTTTTAATATACAAAGATAATGCATTATACAAATACAGAATGCTTGTAGTGATAACATTTTGATATTCTGCCTGCCTTACCCTTCTGGTGCTGCTGGAACTGCTAAAACTGTAACCAAGCTGCCAGCGCCTGGTGTTGTAGTCATGGTATTGTAGTCTTAACTTTTTTACTTGATGTTTTAACTCAGAAATGCTAGTAATGCCTTTTACAATTGATCTGTCAGTTTAGTTTTCTGCTCCATATAAAGTAGCCTAATTTTTAAATTACAGTTAACATTCAGTTCTTTATTCTAGGCTATTTTTGAAGGCAGTATATTGGGAACTGAGCCAATGACTAATAACGTAACCTTATTTTCTCTGTGTAAGAAGTCGTCAAAGTGAAACAATTTTTCAGATTATGCTATCTGAGGTATATGTTGTGATACAGCATTCAAGTCATGCACAAAATGTAACTTAACTCATATCTGAACTTTGTTTAATGAACTTTAGGTAAGAAGGATAATTTGAGGTCCTATCAGGCTGTGTGTAGAATGTGTGTTTAACTTGATTTTTTTAAGTTGTTTATGTGTAATAAACTGAATTAATATAGAGCATGAATTGAAATGTTTGCACATGATTATTAATGCATTTTAGAGTTTAAAAAATATTGGTTAAATATTCGTAGTTCAAGTTGATAGTTAATTAAAAGCACTTGTCTGTTCTGCAAGATTTATTCAGTGATGTAAGTCAACAGCATTTTCCACAGTGAATATAAATCAGTGGTATTATTGTCAGCAAGAAGTTGGCATCTAGTGGCATAAAGTGATGGCTTAATCATAGTAGAGAAGGCTTTTTTTTTTTTTTTTTTTTTTGGAAGATGACTTGAGTGTCTTTCATTGTGCTGGCAATTTATAAAGGTAGCTCTGCTACCTTCCTTATCATGCAGCCTGGGTCTTAGGCTTTGTAGTACTTAGTAGGCTGGGGATATGAATTTGGTAATAGAATATATAGAGTTAGAGAAGATTTCAGATGGTTGAAATAGCACTGAATAATCTGTGCCAGCGTTTAAAACAAACAACGTTTTCAGATGCACAAACAGTATACTTGCTGATGTTATGCAGTCACTTTTTAGTTAGTGTACTTTTGGTCTTTGTTATAATGGATATATTGCTGTAGAAATCAATTGCATCCATAAGACTTATTAGCTTCTCTTTTTGTGAGTAAGGTTACACTGACAAACCCTGTAGCTTTCTTCTTATTTTTTATTTCAAATATATAAGTGGTGCTTTTCCTGCAGAATGATGAATCTTATCTGTGCTAACACTGAAGTAGCGAATGTAAGCTGTGATGTTCAGTCAAAAACATGACCTGAATGCATTACTGAATGTTATTGAAAGATCATAAATCTGACTTGTTCATTCCCCAACGTTTGAGTTGGAAAATATTAAAAACATAGGCAAGTTTTAACAGTTGTACAGCTTGCACCGCTTCTTAATGATCTTCAACTTCACTACTACTGGTATCAGACATGGTTTGAATTTGAGGTTATGAATGCTGTTACTTGTTGCATTTGGGCCTTCAGTGCACTGCAGGCTTTGCTAAGAGATATTGGCTGTGTTCATGTGCTTGGTCACCATCTTCTAGATTCCCTCCTGGAAAGCCAGCATTTATTAGGTTTCTTCTCATGCAATGTTCTTCTTTAAGTAGCAAGTAAGAACTGAAAATAATTTGGGACGTTATTTTTAAGTGTAAGGCTTTTTTTGTGCCTGAAGATGTCTTTAAGACAATTATATATAGCATGCCTACACTTCAAGGTCTTCAATTAAAGTTTGTGCAAATAAGTTTTATGAAAAACAAACTATGATGGACTTCATTGCAGAGGCTTTATAGGATGTTTAAAAAAAAAAAAGGGTTTTCACTTCCTCTACTGCTTGTTTTACTCCCGTGGTATTGTAATCTCGACTTTTTTACTTGATGTTTTAGCTCAGAGAAATGCTAGTGATGTCGTTTCTAATTGATCTGTCAGTTTAGTTTTGTATTCCATATAATGTAGAAGGTTTTCTTTCTCCATAGCAAACAGTCTGCTATTCTGTGAACTTGTAATATCAGTACGCTTCTACCTCCCTTCTCCATGGTGTATTGAGACAAATGTACAAGAACTCAGAAATCGCTTAGATGAGCCGTTGTTTGGCAGTTGTAAGTCTCAGTGCTTTCGTTTTTTGAAAGCTGTTTTCCTCCCCTTACTCCATAGAAAAAAGGCAATCTGCAGGTTTTCAACTATGTCCTACGTTGTCAGTCACTACTTCAGTAAGATAGAAGCTGAACTGATGTAATCTGGAGTACTATGTTCTTTGCTTGAATGTGTGGTTAATGGACACATGCTCATGTGTTCTGGAATGGCTTTAATTTCAGTTACAGGCAAGAACTCCACAGAATTTGGGCTGTCTTTGCTTGTCTGATTTGACACTCAAGCTATTTACAGTTGGTGGAATTCCTATTTCTTGGAATTACAACAGAATCCTGGTTTAAAAAAAAAAAGCTTGGCCTATCTTTTTGACAAAGTAAGTAAGATAATGGGGTTTCAGCTGCTTCAGCTGTTCTACTATAGCAGTATTGCTAAAATAGTTCAGTTACATTTATGAATCATTTCATTTTGTCCTCAGATCGGTGTTCTAAAAAAAAAAAGCCTAATTCTTTTCTATAGACTTAGCACAGATTCTTAGAAAAAGAAAAACTAATCAACAGCTAGCCCAAGTAAGCTCACATTGTACTTGTGTATTATGTAAATCAAGAGAGTAATGTGGAGTATGAACAAAGCTGATCTCTATCAGAGATGTGTAACAGATCCCTTGATTGCAATTTTGTTGTTTCATTCACGAATAAATTTCTAACTAGATTTTTGTGTGCCACAGTATAGCTCATCTAAATGACTAGAAGTCAGTTACAGTAGTAATTTTGAAGTACTTTTTCTTCAGTGTTGTGTCAGGATGTGGAACTATTTGACAGCAATATGTGCTTGATCCTGTGGCAGCCTTATGCTTTTATTTATTTTCCTTTCTCTCTTGTGTTGTTTCACATATGTAGAAGTAGTGACTGCACATCTCAACGTGGTTGCATGCTTGGTTGTGCATCTTGCAGTGTACCAATTCATTTGAAATTGTGGAGCTGCTGCTCTCCAGCTTGCATTGGTGTAGAGCGTGGAGTAATTACTCCCTTAAGAGAGGCTCTTGTGCTCTGGTATCTGCCATTCCAAATTGCAGAGGAGTCGAAATACTCTGAACCTTCCTCTCGTGTTTGTAGCATTGGTTGTTTGTTAATTGAGCCATTGGTCCTCTCCTGCATTGTGAGACAAGCATTGGTAATTGAATTAGTGTTATTAATTTGATAGCTGTTCTGTCTAGCTGTGTGCTGTTTCCATTATATGTATGCTTTCTTTTACAAACGTGAAGATGAAGCCTTTAAGTTGTAGCAACCAGAGCAAACTAGAGGATGACTGTTTTCTCATTCCTGGCTTTTTTGTGTGCCTGACTTCCCTGACAGCCATGCACCAGGAAGTTAATTCTCCTTATGGAGTGGCAGGCTTCCATTTTCTGCCCACCTGTGGTTTGGAGGAAATGTTAAGTCTAGAGAGATGTCACATTTGCATGTTTTGTCTATACAGCTTGAATATCAACAGAAGGTGATTAATCTTCCTCTGCTCCGTCTTCACGAGATCCCATCTGGAGTATTTAGTCCAAGCCTGGGGCCTCCAACACAAGAAATATGTGGAGCTGTTGGAGTGGGTCCAGAGTATGTGAAAAACATGATCAAGAGGGCTGCAGCACCTCTCCTATGATGAAAAGTTGAGGGAGCTTGGCTGGTTCAGCCTGGAGAAGAGGAGGCTCTGGAGAGACCTCATTGTGGCCTCCTAGTACCTAAAGGAATCTTATAACCAGGAGGAGAATTAACTTGTATGGTCTGACAGTGATAGGACAAAGGAGGATGGTTTCAAATCAGAACAGGGGAGACTGAGGTTAGATATCGGGAGAAAATTTTTCACTCTGAGGGTGGTGAGGAACTGTTTCTGTTTCTCTGGCTGCTTAGCGTAACTGTGGATTCTCTGTCTCTGCAGGCACTGAAGGCTGGGTTGGATGGGATTTTGGGCAGCCTGATGCAGTGGCTGGCAATGCTGCGCACAGTGAGAGGGTTGGAGATGCATGGGCTTCAGGGTCTCTTCCAATGCTAGCCATTCTGTGGTTGTCTAAAATCATTGGCTATGTTTCCTGTTACTCGTGATTCAAAACTGTCTACTCTGAGTATGAGAACTGAATTAAATTTTCTCCCACTTCATTTGGTCTCGAAAGATGATCAGTGCCATGAAGGCCATGGTAGTGTTAGGTCAGGAGAACTATTTTAGTTTTTTTCATGAGAAACTTGAATCGAGCCATCTATTTTAAAAATGAGTGGGAAGCTGTAAGTAAAAACAAACAGAGAAACTCGAATCTGTTTCAGGCCAAATAATACAGAATAGCTGTAGCAAATAAGTAGCAAGCTCACATGAGACACAAATGCTATAAACAGTTTTACAACGTCATATACCACATAAAATATATGGAACCTTAAAGTTCCTTCCTCTGGAATTTTTAAATGCTAGGGGCACTTGGAGTGAAGAAGTATTTAAGAAAGCAATGTTAAAAGGATAGTTTACTTTAGTCCCTGTGGAATCTCACTGAAGTATGTGGATGAACCTCTGACAAGTTGGATCCTGCGGTGAGGAAATGTATGCATGCACACAGCAGTGATTATTAGATGTGAAGGAGGAAAAAAAAAAAAGGGTAAGAAGAGTTCTAAAGAAAAAAGATAAATTCTACAGGTGTGATTGATTACCTTGCTGTGCCTGAAAATTGAGTCACACTTAGTAAAGTAAAAAGTAGAGGCTTCATCTCCGCGTAGCGCTCCAGAAAATGATAGTGGTAAGTCACATCATATTGCACTCTGCCGTAAGTCCATATCACTTAATGCTACTTGAATTGCATAGCTGGAGACAACATCTGAAGCTTCAATTTATGATAAAGAAATGCTTTTAAAATGAAAATTAAATAGAAATGGCGAGATTACACGTTTTGTTCAGTGGGAAATACTCTACTGTATTTTCATTCAGCAATATGGAAGTTGGAATGAGATGGACTTATCTGATTCGCTTAAAAATGAAGTGGTACCCAAAACTATGCTATGAAAAAGCTCTCAAGTTATATTTTCTTAGTTTTGTTTGTGGTCTTTTCAAACGGTTCATTCCCATTGAGCTGAAGTAGGGCAGCACGTAATGGTAATTAAAGAATGCCTTTATCCATCTGCTTACTGACTATTATGCTTGGTGTCTTTCTGGCTACATACTGTGCTGGCTGGGAACAGTCAAACAAAAGGACTTCCCTGTCAGGTTTCAGATCCTAATGTTTTGTTCTGTTGATGTCTCACAGAGTTCTGAAGCCTTCAAAGTGGTAATCCTGGAGTGGTGCCGGGTTCTGGAGTCCAGGAGTAAAGCAGATGTTTCAATAATTCTCGGTAAGTAAGACGCAGCTCAGTATGTTCAGTGTCAATTTGTTATTTCAGTCAACAAAAAACTAAAAATGCAGTCACCTGTGCACTGGAACTTGGCCTTAAACTTAGCTACAATGTGTTCTTTTGTTAGCGATGCACACATCTAAATGTTGCTCTCTTAATTAATGCTGACAAATAGACCCTAAAATCCATAGGTGTTACTTTTTCTAAAATAAAAAATTGTCTTTCTCTGGCAATAAGTTTGATCCTCAGGCTTAGCTTTTCCTTGTCTCCTATCAACTTTCCATTCACTGGATTAGTTTTTTGATTGTTTGTTTAAAAAAAGAAAACAAAAGGAAAGAGAAGAAAGAAGGATTTCATAGAAATTAGAACCACTATTTTAGGGCTAAGACTTTAATTTGGGAAAATGCTGTTGTAGGTGTTTCTCTGCAAGAGAAACTCAACCATTCTGTTATTTTATTTACGGACTGGACTCATTCACTTACTCTTGAAGAGTTTTGAATTATTTGAGTTGGCCGTTTTCTGTTTTAATGGTCTGAGAGGTTTAGAAAGCAATTCTGACTATCTCATTTTGAGAGAGTGATAATTTTGTGGTGTATTTTTATTCTGTCCAGTTTGCTCCCTGAGTATTGTTAATTTTCAGACAAGCAGTAAAATGACAGACTAAGGGACAAATTCTTAGGCTTCGTGTTTGGAATGTCTTGCTTCAAAGTATAGAACATAAATTACATACATGGAACTGAAAAATGGATTGCATTTCAAGATTTGTGGGACGTCTGTCAAAGTATGATCATTCTAAGTACATGCTGTAGTTGAGAGCTGGATGGTTCTATTCTATGGGGTAGGGTCATGCTAGCCTGAGAGCTGACGGGTTAGTGAAACTGGCCATAGGGGAAAAAAGCTTATGCTGCATTTGTGGACCTGATGGACTGCTTTTAGTAGATATCCTTACCTTCTGTTTTTGTAAGCACCAGAATTTGCAGCTCACTAAAACAAAAATGTTTTATTGAGTTAACTTCTTCCTCGCTTCCTTGAAGTGATTGATGGTGTTTGGTTGCATTTGAGAAGGCTGAGACGTAAAGATGCATTCATTGTGGAGTTGGTCCTTTTCTGAGTAGAATTCAGAGAAATAGATCCAGTCCTGCGTTAAATGGAATTAAATCTTACACCTTGTGCTTAATGTTGAGATGCTGCCTTAAACAGGAGTTCGTGGTTTTCAAAGCATTGCTTTGTATAACTATAATAGCTGAACGATCACCACTGACTCTCAAATTGAGGCTTCTGTAATTATGCCTTTATTGATTCTACTTCATTAATTGGAATCATTGGCTTTATGAGGTGGTGATGTTAAGATTGGATATAAATACAGTCATTCCAGTTCCCTCCTGGCACTTGTATAATGCTGGAACACAATGCTGCTACAGCAAGAACTCGGTTGTAATTACTGCCATGATTTTTTCCGTTGGTTTTGAAGCCTCAAATAGGACAGCTTCTGTGACAGTGAGGTTGGCAGATTTTCAGTCCAAAGACTGGGGAATCAGACAACAGGGAGTACTGAGTAAGCACTTCAGGCTGCCTGTGGATAAAAAGAGATTGGCAGTTTCTATGGAAAAAGAAAAGTACTCTCATAGTTAGGAACAGTAGTTGTTACTTGAGGGGCAAACCTTCTGAAAGACTGAGTTTGAAGGTTAGTGGTGTAGGTAAAAGTTAGGGTGAGGTGTCTGAAAGGTCTTTAAAGAATGTGTTGAAAGAAAAGAACAGGAAACTTGGAGTACGCAGAGCCATCAAGGGATGATGAATACTTGGAAAGTGAGCAAAGGAATACCGCTGAAGACAGAGGAAGAGACAGACAGGTGGAGTAGAAATGCATTTCTAACTTGGCAGTTTTCCTGTGCTGGAGAATAAGGGCGAAAGTGGCAAATGATTTATTGGATGGAAAAGAGGATGCAGGCTAGAACACTGTGAGATATTAAAACAAAAGTGAAGAGGAATGAGCATAGCAGACTCTATACTGAGTAAGGGTAAACACCAAATGAAGCGAAACAATAGTCTGTACTCTAGGAAAAAGAAGAATCCAGATGACAGAAGAGATGGAGGGGGAAAAAAAAAAGAGGACTTGGAGAAGGAAATTCTTTGTCAGTGGGGGCTTTTCTCATGAATGACTAGTTCCATTATCGCTAGATGGTCATTGGGATATCCACTGTATATTGGGTGCCAAAAGAGAAAGGGAAAAGGAAAAGGCTCTAAGATGTGTATGGAAGGCATTACTATGTTCGAGTGAAAGCAGGATAGAGGTGTACCTGTTCACAAATGTCTCTTGGGCAACAACATCAGAACACAACTGATTCATGAAGTTTCACTTGTGAAAGAGACAGAGGGCAAGGTAAAGAGAATCAGGAAGTGGTTCACATTCAGGCTTGGAACTGTAGGGGGAATTTTGGAATGAGCTTCTGGCTGAGCATCTCTACCTTTCTTTGAGTAGTGGGCTGAATCTTCACTGGATAGTGAGAAATTGGGACTGAATAGTGTACTTAAGAGGGGAAGGTAATCTAGGAGAGTGGAATAAACATGGAAAGTAAAATAAATAGATTGTTGCGCAGTACTGGCTATGTTATGGAGCTGATTGCCTCACTGTTATGGACACCAGAATTTAAGTGAAATGCAGAAAGATCAGGTGATTGTAGTGGATAGATCTGTAAGTGCTTTAAGCATATTCTTTCAAAACTAACTCAAAGCATTTCAAAGGAAAAGGAAACAAAGATTAGTAAGGGTGAAACATTATTCTGGTTTCTTGTGTGCCCTTGTGGTAGTATCTAGGTACTATTAACAGGGCACTGGTGTGAGATGGATCTGATTGAATGCTTTTAGGAGGGTTCGTGCAAGTATGATTCAGTCCTGAAATCCTGAGTGGTGAGTATTTCAGCTACTCTGTCTGAAAAGGTCTTAAACATGCAAACTAATCTCCATGTGGTGTTGTAAAACAGAAGATTTGAGAATGAAACCAGAAGACACAGGCACAGGGAATTTTCATGTGAGAGATTTATTCAGGGACTTCGTTCTCTTGATTTGTGTATCTTCTTGGTTTTTGAGGATTGCATTACTTGTATTATTGTGGTTTCTCAGTAAGAAGTAAGAAACTGAGAACTGTGACACCCAGGTAGGGCTAGTGAGACATGGGGAAGGGTGAGGGAAGACTGGGAGACTACACTGTTTCTGATGCAATATTATAGTTGACTGGCACATCTTGCAGAGTGTCAGGCAAAAGGTCTGCATGTAGAAATACCCCTAAAATGGCAAGGATTCCCTTTTCCATTAGCAAGTAGTATGTAAGCCACATGGAATGTTTTACTTCCTTAAATGCTGGAGGCCTGGGAAGGCAGGTCAGTATTGCTTCATTCTTTTGAGATGGACTAACAGCCATACAGTAAGTTTACTGTTCCAGAATTGAGTAGAAGATTGAGATCTCGGAATCTTGCCTAATCTGAAGTAGAGTGATGGTTCAGCCGGGGGTGTGATAGACTTCCTTTTTGCAAAGGCAGCCCACTTAGGTGCGAAGGTTCTATTTAGCTGTCAATGAATGCTGCATTACTTTTATTGTGTGAATATTCACTGTGGTGCTTAAATACTTCTGTGGTCTGCACTGGTGTGCTATTTAGGCAATGAAAGGGCAGGGCATGTGTTAAATCCTGCTGGTATTACAAGAAACAAATGATTATAGTGCAGCAGACAACGTGGGGAAACAAAGTTTTGTATGGTGCTATATTTATTTCAAATACTTCAGTCTTTTTTGTGAGCTTCTGTGGGAGTTAATTGCACATGACAACGGTAATTCCCAAAAGTTAATTTCAGAATTGCAAAATAAAATAAATAAAAGGAAAACAAAAGCTCAACCATGGAAGATAAAATTCTTAATTAAATTCCTTATTTTTGATAAAGAATTTAACGTTCAGAGGAAGATAAGCATAGCATCATGAGTAACCACGGGATGATTTCATCAATACTAATTTGAACATGAAATGCATCAGCATACAGAATTTAGTCAGCTTTGTGAATTAAATGCTTCTGATGTCTGTATTAGAAATATCCTGCAGATATAATTTACGTATCAAAGCTTTGTTCTGCTTTTATTACAGCATATGCTGGTTAGCTGTGACAGTGCTTTGTATTTTAGAGTGACGGTAGTTCATTGATATAGACAACCATTTCTCAGTGCTGAGAATACCCGTTTTGCTAGTGTGGGTTAGCAGGGAGAGAGACCCTTTCACCTTCGTAAATGTTCCACATGTGCATATTGACATAGAGTGGGGAAACATTTACCATCTGGAAAAGGAGGGGCTGTTGTCATGGTCACTCGTCAGATGCTTTGTACATATTTTAATTCAAATACTGACAGTAATTAATTTTGTTCTGTTAAACATTAATTTTATAACTCTGCTTAATCAGTTTCTATCAGTATTCCTGATACTTCTACGTATTTGGTAGAGTAGAGCAACAGAGCCTTTTTAAGGAAAAAACTCTGAAAATTAATACCGAATCAAAGAAGTTTTAGCAAACAGCATTTCCCCCTTAGTGTATTCTACTTTATTTTTAAAAGATTTTTTAGAAGTCTTATTAAACTACAGTCTTTAGCAAGACAAGGGTCAATGCCCAGTAACTGCGTATCTTTTGGGGGGTTTCAGTTACTTCAATTTTCCTAGAAACCTAGGTTACCAATTAAGAGTTTAGATTAAAATACAGTACGTATGAAAAAGCATTAAGACACTTCTCACAAGATGTTTTTTTTCCAAGTATTTGCAGAAGAAGGAGGCAGTTGCTACTGTTAAACTGAAAGTTTGGGGAAAATTAAACTTAATTACAATGTGAACATAATAAATTATTGTAGGATGATGAAGCTAATACCGAAATACATTTCTGACTTCAGAGAGTCGAGTAAGAGTAGAAGACTTCTCAGTACTTGGGGGATATTTCAGCTTTTCTGTGTTATTTTGTTATTTGACAGAAGTTCTTTTTCAGCAGAGAGGTTGAATTCTTCATTTGAACTGCAGAAGTCCTAAGGGATCATAACTTTATATACTGGCTTCAGTTGGAGAAGCTCTGCTGAAGTCAAGCTTCAGGAAGAGTTACTGGTGCAGAGTCTATATCAGAAAAGGCTGTCAAGGCTGTCTTAACAGACTTACCCCCCCCTCCCATCTGCTTCCTGACCCTAACAGGAGTCTCTGTTAATGAAATAAGGAACAGAAGCAGTGTAGCCGCAGGACCTGATTGGCTTTCTGTAAGATCAGTGTCTCTATTTATGTCCACTCTGCGTATGAAGGAACAGGAAATAAAGAGAACTTTGAAGGTACTTACCCAGTGTGAAAGATGGGAAGTTTCTGGACTACAAAACTCTGCTTAATAACGTGTGAAGCAAAACGTTATTGCTGGCTAAGTGAATGTGTGTTTGTGTAGTCCCAAGTGCTACCTCCACCTGTCGTTGAGCAAACAGAGCCCTGCTACAGAACCTGGTCATGTAGGTGTCATAAATGGCACCTTGGTTATTGGCATGCTTTCAATGTCTTATACAAATACCAGATCTAATGCTGGGCATCAGTGCCGGGCACTAGAATTAGTGATGCTTCCTCCTGCCCTTCCCATGTTCTATGAGAGTGGTTAGCTGATTTTTGACTGACCAGCTGGATTTGATAGGGTAGAAATGTGAAAAGAAACAGTTGGATATCCAGTTACTTTTTGCAGCTGTGGTCTAGAGGTTAATGGGAAGTATGAAGAATCTGTCTGACTTGACATTGTTCCAGATTTATTCTTGTGTTAATATAGTATACTTGCAATTATCTTGCATTTACGCACTCTGCTAGTTTCTGTGAAACAAATGAGATATCCTGGGAATAACTGAGGACAAAGCTTTGTATAGTGCCAATTTATAAAGGGATTTCAATTAGCAATGTGGAATTTCACCATCAATATGAATGCTGTCAGATTACTGTGAGTTAGATCAGCGTCTCAGTGTCTGAGACAGAATGACTGAATCGCAGGTGATTTATTTTGAGTTTATGCAAGCCATCAAAAGATGCTGTGTTGGATCCTGCAGTTCTGTAGACCTTTCTTTGATCAGGAAGAAAAATGCAAAGGTAGATACACATACAGTTGTCATTTGAACTATGGACTGTGAAGTGCTTGTTCTGAAGGGTTACTCTTTTGTTTCACCGAAAGAAAAGAAGGTGTTCTGAAAGAGAACCATTGTGTTCATATGCAAATAACAATTATTCTTGGGTTTATGCTGCTGAACTGAAAAAAAAAAAAATCTCAGACGTCCAGCACTGAGATGAAAATAACCATTCTGCTACTGGAGATTCCCAAGTGAATGCAGAATGCTGATAGCGGTATTGTCTCCTGAAATCTTGCATTCAAAACTGAAGTCTTAAGAATAGAACGTGTGCCAGATAGAGAAGTGGCTTAATTGAGGTCAACAGTAGATATTTTCAAAAACAGCTTTTTTTTTTCTTTTTTTTCAGAACTGACTTATGTCAACAATAACAAAGCACAATATGAGATTCTTTTGTTTTTTTTTTTTTTTTTTCTATAGAAACCCTGTAGTTGCAAGTACCAAAGCTTAGTTTTTCTTTTGCACACCCATGAAATCCTCTGGTAGGATGTCTGAGTACAAATATGATTCTATCAATATGTCTACTACCTCCTTGAGTCCTTCATTAGATGTGAAGGTATGTCAATAAACAGTTCATTTTTCAGGAATGCTTCTTGCAGCTGTTTTGCTTTCCTTCTGCAACCTGACTTTGGGTATCTGAGCAAAAATTCTTTATGTCAAATTTGAAATAACAGTCAAAATGATTTGTTATGAGTAAACCTATTCTCCTTATTTATTATTTTATTATTTTATTTTATTATTACAATTTTTGCCAACGTACATTGAGAAAACGATGGAGACAGTGTCTGTATTCCTCTGCGTGAACTGCTTCTTACCAGCTGTATGTTCTGCAGAATAAAACTTCCTATGTTGGCAGAGATATTTTTGGAGTAGTTTTATACGCTTTTTCAGAACTGAACTTAGTTCTGAGTATTCCAGAGACCTAAATATAGCAAACTGTAGTGTTTTGAAGTGATTAGCTTGAAATGGATTTCCAGATCTCAAAATCAGCACCTGTTAGGTCAGAATGTGCTGAATTATGTCCATTTCTACTGCTTTTCACTATCAATTTCTGGTTACATGCATATTAAGCATGAATCAGCATGCCTTTTGTGTTTGGCAGTCTGATTTCCACTGCTGAGAGACTAGTATAAATAGAATGATTTCAATTGCAAAGCATTGATTTCCCCCTGGAGCAGATGTTTTTATTTAGCTAGTGGCAGAATGTTTTGAGGCAAATCACTGTTCCTGTTTACGTTTGAAAATAAAGAGCAGAGACAAAAGAACACCTTGCAATATTTGAATTTTGGTTGTAAAGCGTTTGCTTGACTGTTTTAGCTGAGGCATGTTGGATATCCAAGCCACTTCTATTAATGAGTGTCTGGGGTTATAAAGGCTGAGGGGTACGAACAGGTATTTTGTCTGCCTGGAAATACATTGTTTAATTAAAATGACTGCTGGTGAATTTTGACTGGGGAGTCTCAGATAACTTAGCAAATCACATACGACATTATAGATGAAATTTCTGTGTCTAAGCTCATCTTTCATAAACAGTAAACATCATTTTGTTCAGGTTGGGTCACTCAAGGCAAGTAGATTTTGTGGGTAAGAAGAACATCTGCATTTTCCCCAGATTGTGAATATTCTTGTCACAAGAGCTGAATACATTGTTTCACAGACTTTCTGGTGCTAGAGGCAAGGTTTTGAGCTCTTATTAGCTCTTCTTAAATTACCCAGGAAAGCAGAAGGGTGTTACACCAGTTCTTCCTCTTCTTCCCTCTTGTTCCTTGTGAGTTCTTTAGTCCTACTGGTCTAGAATTCTTATCAGCAGCTGCAGCCACACATTGTACACTTCCTTAGATCCACTACCAGAGAAAAATACTTGTTCCACCTCTGCTGGGATTTGTGCCAACACCATTTTAAGAGACTTGCAGACTTGAGGTTTGCATCTTCTGTCCTCCATAACAATAAAAGCTTAGTTAATTGTAAGTGACAGATGCTCAGTTTATGAAGTGCAAATAGGTTTAGAATAACATATGTGGGTAAGTGCCCAAGGTTAGATGCTCAAGTTAGGAAAAGAGAAACAAGTTCACTTTGTACATAGGAAAGTTTTGTATGTTTGGTTTTGAGCTAGTTATGAAAGCACGCAAATGTTCTGTTTCTTCCAGCAGTATTACCTACGGTACATTAAGGTCAAAATGATTTTTACTAAATTATTAAGTCCTAATTAATATGGTAACACAGATAATTGATAGAGTTTTGTTTATGGGTCAGTTGGCAGCATCTTTGAAAGAAGCATTAATTTTTGTTTCTTTCCCAGTTCATTTTTAATTGCGTGTATTGCAGAACATGTCATGTGGAATTTGTCTTTGTGAAGTTGTCTGTCACAGAACTGTAAATGTTTATTTTTTCTGTGCTGATTGTAATCAAATGACTGACCCTTGATACTTACCTGCGTTTCCTTACGAGCGTCAACAAATACAATTCCTTTTTTCCATTTCTCCTTGTAAAACCTGATAATTAAACAATTACACTTCAGGCAGAGCAGCAGAAGATTTGGGTAGTAATGACGGCAGAAACTCTCATGCACAACTTGGTGGGTCTTTTCAGAGGAGCTATGTCATGCTAAATTATCTCTGTGTATTGATGAGCAGTACGCTGCCAAGGATGAATAAAACACTGAGCATGAAGGTCAGCTCTAATAGAAGAACTTACGAACATATTCTGTTAAATCCCACTGCCTCTGTCTGTCTGCTGCCCCTGCTAAATCAAATTCTCCATTAAGTTAGCAGTTCTGATAAGTACCTGCTGAGCTGCAGAAATCTGTACTGAAAAATAGCTTCCCATTTCAATTTGTTTCTGCCACCTTGTTTACAGTACTTTAATTGCTTGTGGAAGCACTCAATGGATAAGCTTTGTACTGCACTGAGTATGTAAAAATAGGGGTTTGATTCAAGAGGTAAATGGGGTGCCTGGGTCCGTGACGAAGGAGAAATGGAGTGCTTTAAGTGGTGCTTGGTATCAATTTCGTTTTGATCCCTTGTCTGAGAAAGAATTGCTAAAAACAGTGTTAATGTTTTCTGATAGCTGAATTTCAGAGTGGAGAACCAGATCTTTACCGAGAAGCTGCATCAAAAGCAGATTGTGAATCTTGGGCTGTGGCACTGGGAGAGGCGGCAAACACAAAATTTGAGGAATAAAATTCATCAACTCTGGAGGTTGATCATGGAGATCAAAGAGGAGAGAACATCAGATGAAGCACAGCAGTTTCTCCCTTCATCACAAATAGACAGTCTAGGAGAGCCACGGCTTACGAGTAAGTGTATATTCTCATTTTGAGTGGTATGTTAAAAATGCACCAGAATTTGCAGTAGTACGGGTAATGTCTCAAACAGTGTACATAATGCTGTTTAATTTGTTGGTTGACAAAGTGCAGTTGTGGAAGGAGCAAACTGATAAAGGTTATCTTTAACTGTCATTACCTGTTACGTTTTCAGTTATTCAGATAATCTTCACAGAAACAGATAAGTAGTTACTATGTTTCTGGTATTTTTCTCTGATATATTTTCTTCATGAAAGTTCTATTCTTCTGTCTGACGTGAACATGTGGGCTTGTTGTAAGACGTAATCTGATAATTTTGATAACTCTAAGTAAGCTTTAGTGATATTTAAATTGGAGTCAGAAGAGATATAAAAGCACTTTGGGGTTTGAAAGCATCTAGCCGTATTTTGAGCCATTTTTGATTCACAGTGCCTGAACCATGTTGTACTGCTATGTGCTGGATTTCAGTTGTATCAAGTGACTGATCAACCAATTAAGTTTGTATCCAGCATAGTGATAAAAATGTTCCAAAATGCTGGATGTGCTAGTGATGAAGTTGAACTCTGAAAAATTTGTTATCAGATATTTTAATGCAATTCTATTTTCAAATAAATACAGGATCTTATTTGTTATTTCTTACCGACCAAGGCCTTTCTACGCTTTGCAGCTATAATTTTTTGTGCAAAGGCGTGAAAGATTAGTTGTATTAGTGATAACAGTGTGATGTAAGACCTATTCTACAATGTTGTTATCATTTTATTTTTAAAATTGCAGCAATATTCTCCCTTACGTTTTATATAACATCCTGGTTCTTCCAAATCTGACCAATTTGTCCAGTATTTGTGAATGCAACATATGATCCTTTGATGCCAGTGAGACAATACACAAATGTCTATGTAAGACAATTTCATTTCTACGAGTTCAATCAATGCTGTAGTTATGATCCAATTACTTCCTGCAGAGGGTGAACAATGAAATGTAATTTAACCATCCTCCGAAGGAAAAATCACCTTTACAAAGAAACGTCATTTTTTTTCTTTCTTTTTTTTTTTTTTTTTTTTTTTTTGGACAAATACTTCATGCAAAGATAACTTTCACTGAGGTTGTTAATATAAAGTGTTACTCCACTCAGCGTGGCAGGTATTTGGTGTGGCATGAGTTAGGCATGTGAAACTTTTAGACTATTAAAAAAAAAAAAAACGCAACACAAACACAACCACATACAGGCAAAAAAAGGCAGATATGTAAATCAAATTATTTCTAACTATTTTTTACTTTTTCCTCAACTTTAAAAGGTATTCAGAGAATTGCAAATGAGCCAAAGCTGGAGTTCAGTCTTGGTAAGATAGAGTTTTGTTGTCTTGGAGTTGCAGTGTGCCTGTATGCATGTGTGAAGAATTTGTGCGTGTAATGTTACATAGTATTACATGCAATCTGTAGAAAAATAAGTAAATAAAAGAGCTGTGCTTCATTTAGACAGGAGATCTGCCTGTGCATGTGCCTTCAAAATCCTGGCTTTATGTTCTTAATTCATCGAAATATCTGAATATATATATATATATATAAGGTTGTCCCATTCCACCTGACAGTTACAACATTCTCTGTTTGTCCTTTGTATTTCACCCCTCCCTCCCACTCTCACGTAATGGATTATGTCAGCTTGGCTTGCAAGCTTACAGTATTCACTATATTAAACCATCTGTGTTCTTGAAAAAAAAAAGAAAATTAAAAAATAAAGTAAGTAATCTATCCTTCTATCCATATAGGGTAGGAGTTGTCTTAATTTGCATTGCCTCATTCTGTCACAATCTTTAAATATCAGTCTGTGCTAATTGTATCACTGAATATGCAAGGCTCAAAAAATCCTCGGTAGTGGAAGTTGGGAAGCTATTCAACTAGTGTTCTGGCTGCTTCTTGCTATTTGAAAAATTTGCCTTGTATGACATTTGCATTACGTAACAAAAAAATACAAATATTATATAAGGAGAACGATCGCTTTCTTATATAATATAGAAAATATTTCATACTTCAATTTTTTCTGTTGACAAATTTGAGTTCTCTCTGTATATTAGAGAGATGTACGTAGAATCTAAGTAGAGAAATAAACATACATAAATGGATATCTATTCTCTGTATGACAATGTCTTGTTTGTCAACCCATTATATAGCAGTATAGCATGAATCATTTTTGCTGCGTTATCAACTTAGTTTTCATGTTTGTAAGAGGTAATTGTTCACAGAAGTGGTCGTGGAGATGCTTGCAGTTTGTTGGCATGCCTCGCTTCTTAATGATGAGCAGTAAGCACATAGGGTGTGGGTAAATTTAATTTCTGTGCATGTTATAAAGATTGAAGTTCTGTTTAGCACCTTGCTATGTGACTGTTAATCAGCATGGTGAGCTTAAGTGCAGTTATATTTATTTGCCTTGAGAAGTTGGTCAGTATGTGATGAACCAGGAACACTGGGTTGATCATGATGATGCAGCATGTTCCAGAATGATGGGAAACAGCTAACTTCCTAATATGAGTCATTGAAACGATGAGGATGTTTCAGGTAGTATTCTTCATCTCTGCATAACGTATATCTGTTTTGTTTCTGGACACTTTTGCTTTCAAGCATTTTTGTTCCCTTGATCTACCAGGGAAAAGTAGATGACGATTTTGCAAATAACAATGTGTACCAGTAAGGGCTGTAATTAAAAAAAAAAAAAAAAAAAAAAAAAAAACTTTTTCTTTTAAATCAGAATAAAGGTTATGACTGTTTTGATATAAATGCGTCTAGAGACTAATTTTGAATAGCTGTGGCTAAACCATTTAGAAGTTGTACATACCTGAATTTGAGAAGCTATTTAACACTTGAAAGGTTTTTATGGGACATAACCATTTTGAGAGATGGGGTTTGATCAACTTAGTTCTCAAGTGATGCAGCAGATAATGGGGTAAACTTCTGTTAGGAATGTTCGAATTCTGAAATGAATCAAATCAATGCGTTCATACGGCCATGGGAAAATGAAGCTAATAGTATTCCCTTTGGAAATCTTAAAATAGCTAGTCTTTTCAGTAAACTCCATTTCTTCTTGATACTGAAAGTGGTCATTTTTGGTTTACCTCACGCTTTTTTTGTTGGCTTCATAAATGACGGTTCCTGTTTTTTCAGATTCTTTTCTATCTAAAATTTCAAAGGGGAAGTTTTGTGTATCTGTTAAAAGATGTGAAGTTTTCTGGGAGGTTGAGTATGAACTCAGTCCCTGATGAGGATGATGGGAAGCTGACTACTACAGGAGATCAGTGTAAGCATGGGTTAATCTACCCTAATTGTTACTGATGAGGGTACTCACCCTGCTTTGCCTGAACCGATTCCAAATCCTGAGCTAGAATACTCAAAGCAATCAGAAACCTTAATGGTAATTTATAAGGGTTACTGAGAGTTACTTGGAGGAAGAATTTCAGAGTTGCTGAAGAATTTGTTGATATAGGTAGATATTTGAGTATGTCGAAACTGATTGTGTTGTTACTTAAGTATTAGAAAAGAAACACCAAAAAAAACCACCAACGCAGTAGCAACCTTAATTGGTTACTTATTTTTATGAGCTTAATACTTGCTTTCTGAAGTATTAGCCATTTCAGTGAACATAATGTAAACTTTTAAATTATTCTGACGTAACTGAAAACTTGTGTTTCTAGGGTATTTTAAAACTAGTTCATTGGGATGTAGAATTGAGGATCATTAAACTTAAAGAGAAGTTATTTTCAGCACACGCACCACTGCTCTTTTTTGCTCATTATTTTTATCTTCCTGCCTTTTCTCCAAAATACATCACCTACTTTGCATATTTCCTTCTGGTTTTTTTTTTTTTTGCCTGTGTACTCTTTCAATTAAGTTTTTGAACCCCATTCTCTGATGTGACTCTTTAGTAGTGACTTTGATGTAGACCTCTTACATCTCATGAATTGAGCCTTGATTTTTGGAGGGTAGGGGTGTGCACGTGTGTGGCCTATTACACCTTTAATCTTTCAGTTGCCAGAATGATGGAATAGCATGAGTGGGAAAGACGTATATGATTGAATGGCTGAGCTGCAGAGGGAAGATGACGTTTTACCTTACCTAGAGAGTTCTCTAGTGAAAGAACATTTGTGACAACATCTTTCTGGACGAGGCGGGCAGTCAGTCCATTCTCCCCTTGCACGACCAACAAAGCTGCAGGTACAGCTCTTCCATGACCCGATGGCCTTGTGCTTAACTGATACACAGTGAATGATACGACCGCAAGTAATTTGTTTGTGGTTCTAGGAAGCTTGTCTGGATGAAGGGACTCTTACTGAGAATAATTTGTTATACACAGAGAGCAACAAGCCAGTTCAAGCTAAAGTATTCCTTTGTTCTTACAGAAATCTCGATAAGACTCCCTTACCTACAACAAGTTTTAGATGATATCGTGGCACTGCTGTTGTCTTCCAGCCTTTCCCTATTTCCCAGGAATCTGACTTTTTGTCTAGGAAAATAACTGATTTTTTTTTTTAAACGTGCTGTCTTTGTCAAACAGACTGAGTAGACCTAAAGTGTCTGCAGAATATTTTCAGTTGAACATGTTAATCTAGTCCATAGTGTGTATTACTAAGAATAAGCTTCAATAAGTTCTACAAAATATTTTTTCACCTGTTAAAAGGGCTGTTTTCATCAAACAAGAAAATCTCTTAGTTTTGCTTTAATTTTTAACTTCTGTTTAACAAGTAGAAGTACATGTAGCAAAGATTACTTAAGGGTCTTTTTTGTGTTTGTGTTTTAGTAGCTGAAGTGTTAGTTTTTCCAGCTGTCCCATACCCCATATGGTTTAGAAAGGTCTGCTGCGCAGGGTGTAAGAATAGATTTTATGTTAGAATAATTGGACAAAGTCATTTAGGAAGCGAAAAGTAACATTTATGATTAAGGAACTTGGAGCATATGAGGAGAGGCTGAAAGAAAGAGCTAGGACCCTTGTTAAGCGTGGCAAAATTATACACAGTTGATAATGTGTGTCAATACCTGGAGGGAGACGGGAATGCAGTGAGGATGAGGAGCCGGATTCTTTTCAGTTACACTCTGTGAAAGTGTAATAGACAATAGATGCAAGTTAAGGTATTTGAAATTCTATCAGAACACAGAAACGGTCCAGAGAGGCTGCTGAGTCTCCATCCTTCGAGATGAATAAATTCAACAGAGTACTGGGAACGCAACAGAGCTCACTGGGATCTGGCAGAGGGGTTGGGATTCAGTTGGACATGTCCTTTACGACCAAAATCTTTCTGGATCATGTGTGACAGGGGTTTGCTATGTAATTTGACAATAAGTTTTCTGGTCCCCTTTAGAGCCTACTGTTAGTGACTGGCTTGTTACTGAAGCTTAAAAAATGTTCTGTAGCATACATCAATAATGAAGTTTTTGTTGGCTTGATCTAGAAATCCTTTGGGATCTCAAAATGATCTCTTACTATGTTGAAATGAGTACTCTTAAAATTGTTGCCATCTGTCTGAACTAAAGCAGTTTTAAGGAACTTCTCTTATTAAATGTTTGATGGTGTGCTTAGCATGATTCAGGTAAAGACGCTTGTGATATCAGCATGAATCGTTTCTTGGGCAAGGCGCAAGTTGGAAGCAGACAGAGGTGAGCAAAACTGAAAAATCAATTTTGATTGCCTGAAATAATATCTGATTAGTGCATTTCTAATGTTTCTTCTGCACATTTGCACGTGAAGGTTGATTTATTTCTGTATATTCGTAGGGCAGACTTACTAACACAAATGCTTGTAAAATGTAAACGTAGAGCAGAAAATGGTTCCTGAATAGCACTGGCCGGAAGTAAAATTCAAATGGACCCTTTTCATCCCGAGTTAAAACTTTCCCCTTTTTCTGTTGTGAAAGAGTTAAGGATGAGCTTGGCTGAGAGACAAGCTGAGGTTGACAGTTTAATTATTAGTGCGCTTTACCATGTGGGTGGGTCTGAGTTCTGAAGTCTGATTGAAGGATGATGACTGTATCCTTGTTCCAATTTCAGTGACAATGTTAACGTGAAATATAGAAATTACATTACATATTTTTTTGTCCCCTCTATCCCTGCGGCTAGTAACTCTTCACCTTTTTTGAGGTGCAGGGGTTTCTTTTTGATGCTTGATCAAGGTGGGATGATTTCAAGAGGAGGATTTGAATGTCTGCTTGTATGCATTTAGTGACTTTGTGTTTTGTAGCTGCTAAGCTAGTGATGAACAGAGTGATAAACCTGGATCCAACCGCATCTGACCTTTTTCTGGTCCAGTGCTTAACTGAATTCTAAGGGGTACTGGCATCATTTCTCCTTCAGCCTTCCC